TATTCGAACAAACTGTTATATTATTCTAAGAGTATAATTATATATTTTTTAAGTGTTCCCATAAGTGCAACCCTCATCTTTTGGGCCAATCCCAAAGTAATTATAGCAAATCACATGTCAAGGTCTCTGTCAGGGCTATAAGAACCCGTCAATAAAATAAACTACAATTTAAAGTTGCTTCCGTTGGTTATAGTTTTTCAGCTTTATTGCCGCCGGGGGCGCTTAGATGGCTTTTTGTTGGGCCGAAAAGCACAAGCAAGTATGAGATACTTTCGGGGCAGATGGCCAGCAAGTCTTGAGTGTAAATAGCCTGAAAAACCTTTAGAAGTTTCGTACCTTTTTTCCGGGGCTTGCCTGGAAGTTGGCAAAAGTCATTTGAAGTAGCAAAGCCGCAGACAGTGAAGCAAAACGAAAGATGTTGTAAAAGTTTTGGCTTAGTTTCGTTTACCTAGTGGCATAGAAAAAACGGTTTGAATATAATTCTAATTTGCATATTATTTGAATAGCAGAAGAGATGGAGTCCCTGCTCATGCCAGTTCCAATGGCACCCCCCTCGGCCAGCACCGATTTTTGGAAGCTGGAACCCTTGGAGAACATAATGGCGTGGAAAATCTTATACAAGGCAGCGCAATCTGCAGGATTGCAGCGCCACAAAGCTCTTAAAGTAATTAGTGGCATAAATTAAATCCCCCACCTCCAGTCCAGCCCTCCCTGTCCAGCTAGCCCGAAAAACAACAATGGGCAATTGTTTGAATGACCCTTGTGCCACTTTTAATTGTTGCAATGCTGCGAAACTTTTCGACCTGGCCGGCAAAGGCGAAAGAGTTGCGGGAAAAGGCCTCCAGCGTTTTGTCACCGCTGAGGGGAGGTGCGGAATTTCGCTGGGAAAATAGGGGGGAAATGGGGAGCGATTTCCACGGAGGACGCTCCACAAACGCACTGCAACAAAAGCGACCGACCGCGGGGCATAAATAACTTTTTTTATGCGTTTCATATGGGGTTTTTATATGGACAGAAGGTCGACGCACAAGCCCCACAAAAATGCGCACAAAATGGAGAAGAAAGTTGACACTTTTTAAATTGAATATAAAATAAAATAAATTGTGCGTAATTTAAAATATCACCCCAAAGAACAGCGAATTTTTCATTTGCCAGAGGCGCAATGTAAGCCTAATTACTTTCCCTTTTTTTAAAAGAGACCCAGGATTGTGAGTAAAATATGGTGAAATTGATTTTCATTTGCCTTTTATGCATACATTTTTGGAGAAAGAAAAAGTTGTGTTAGCCCGTAAAATTTAATTTTTAATCAATTATACATATCACAGCAAAGTCTGTGTTATTCAATTAGTTAATAGTTAAAATAAAACCCTCATGGTTTACTTTTTCTTGTTTCTTTTTCAGCCACAAGGGAGTTCTAAGTGAGGTGCAAACTAGTGCAACATTGATTTCCAATTGATTTTGGCTTTTGTCGCCTTTCTGTCATAAAAATACTCATCGAAAATTACATGCCAAAATAAAACAAGCTGTTGACTTGCCAAATAGCCGTGAAATATTCCCCCAGGGCGTAGGTGAGCAGGTAACGGCAATCGCATCGTTTTCCCGGAGAATTCGCTGAGACAACAAATGTCGACCACCCACCCAGCCACCACCCCCAGCCAGTCGCAGCTGGCACGCCCCTTTTGGCCCCCATTTGCTGGTCGCTGTAGTATCCGCCGTATCTGTCTCCGGACGGTAACGAGCCCTGGTCATGGAGTCCAAAAAGTGGGCGGGATATCGGCAGAAGCTGGACCTGTAACTGGAGTAGTCGGAATTGGAGACAGAGACGGAGTCGGAGGCTGAATGCCAGGATATCGTAAAGCGACACACAATCACACATAAAATTTTACAACACGAGGATGTTTTTTATTGCACTCATCCCGCGTGCCAGCTCCCTGAATGTCCTTGTCCTGCTCCTCGGCCCCAATCGAAGCAACTTAAGTAGCCAATTACTGAAAAACTTCGAATTCCTTACTATGAATTTACCCTGTCCCCAGGACCGTCCCCCAATGTCGATGGCTGGCCGCTCGTTTTGTTGTGTTTTGTTTATTTTTTTTTATTTGATTTTTGTTGGCCGTACTGGGCCGATGCAATATTTTTAACCCGGCAAGGGTTTGTTAGTGCGCCCATCAGGTGAGTAAACAACCAAACATTTTTCTATTTAATTAAAATTAATTTACCTTTTGGCTGTTCGAACAGTGTCGCTGATTTATGGATGGAAACCAATAAATTTGCACAGAGCTTCTGATTCAGATTCGGGCTCGGATTCAGATGCTGAGCCGTGAGCCATTTAAATCACGAGCTGTGCTGTGGTTTTAATTAAAAGGAATTTATTTTCCACTCAACTGCAGATAAGTGCGCAGACAGTTGGAGCGTAGCAGCAGCATCCGCAGACGTCCATATAAATATAATAGTTTACCTTTGGCTTTGCCGTAGCTTTTGCTTGTGCCTCAGCCTCTGCCTCTGCACCAACCAGCTCCATCCCCGCACCACTGCACTGCGAGCTGTGAGCCCCACCGCACCACATGCACCACACACTCACTTAAACGGACACAAATATTTGCCCACCTCGTATTACATACCCACGACTTGCCATTATCGTTAAGACAATACAAATGCCACAGCTGGCACGGGGAAAAATATTTTAGCACGAAGCTACATTAAAAGGGTGTATATGTAATTATTGATTTTTTGTAAGATTTTTTAACATATTTACACACTTAAATAATTAAGTTGAAAATTGTATAGCACTTCTTTTCTGTAAAGCACTTCTTTCTCTATAGTTGAAATTAACAACTATAATATTTGGAACTATGTGATTGTTAGTTTATGCTACCTTGTGATGGAATTTTAGTTTGAATTTTAGACTATTGAATAATTTAAAGATTATAACATAAATATCTGAAAAATGTTTGTTTTTTAATATACATATGTAGTTTTTCCCTAAAACCGTATTATCATATGAATTTAAAACTTATTTGTCCAGCTAAGCTTATCGTGTTTATTCTTCTGCCAAACTAATTTATAAAAATGAAACAAAACAATAAGAACGGAGTATTAACTTAATTTGAGTTTAATATTCTTTTAATAGCCATTTTTTATTTCCTGTGCACATGCGTTGCCCAGACTGATGTATTCACATGTATGCGTGTGGCCATAACCCTTTGCAAACATGTCTATTTTGGTCAATGGCAATAGCAACGAAAACCATTTGTTAATTGTTGGCACACCCCTGAGGCAGAGGCAGGGAAAATCGAGACGGGACCTGGATCTCGAGTATATAGGACAGGGGATAGGATCGGAATCTGAGGTCTTTGGCCGCCTGTCATAATTACGGAACAGGCTGCTCAAGTTGCCGCAGCTGGCACCTAAGACGTTGGCCAAAGACCTGCATCGTCGCCTGTCTAGTTATTATTATGGATGGGGATAGCAGCCCCTGCACCACACAATTCCCCTGTCCGCCCCACGCATCCTCTGACACCCCTTTTAGGCCCCAAAGTGATGCCACTGGCCAATTCTATCGATGCCGACCACATATCGGGTTTCCATATTAGCCAGTAATTAATCATGCGCCTCGTTATAACGGCCATTTGGGTAATTACAGCCCCCGGATCTCGAATGCTTTCGATAAAAATGTAAATGCATATCAGGCTCCATTTGAGCCTGAGCCTGGGAGAGCAAAATTAATGGCCAATAAGCGAAAATGAATCATGCAATTGGTGCTCAATGGCTTCAACTTTTCGGGAATGTTGTAAAGCCCTCGGCTCCCAAAAAACCGAACAGAACCTCTCGAGGGCCCACTAAAACCCCGATATAAACACAGCCCGCAGCCAAGATGTTAAAGCCCCCGAAATCGCCACCCAGTCACCCCTGCAGTATCCAGGGCCTACTACACACAGGAAATCGTCGGCGATAAATCTCCCATTTACCTTTAAACTCGAAATACGACTACCAATGGCGGCGCCTTCTCCTGGCGGCCAGGAGGGTCGGTAGTGGAAAGGGAGTGGACACTGTTACGTTACGGCCTTAAATCCACTAACAAATAAAGGAATAAATTGCCCATAAAAAGGATTTTGCAAATGCCGGCTGCAACTACGGAACCCACTTGTGTTTCCTATTTTACAGTTATTGTGCACTTCTTTCTAGTTTAGTTCCTTGTACTAAACTTAAAGCAATCCGCGACCACAAATGCCAACAAGTTTGTTGTGCTCTTCTACTGTCTGCCAAAAATGTGAACTTTTTATGATTTAAGCCCTGGCCATAAGACCCAATGAAAACAATTTATTTTTTGGATTTGACAATGCTTGTAGAAGCTCCACTTTATAAAAAAATGTGATTTTTGGAAATATTTCAAATTGAAATAAATGATGCTTGATGCTAATGATGCTTTCAAAACTTTTTTATAGCTTCTCTTATTTTTTAAATTGTTTAAAATGCACGACTTTTATATAAATATTTGGTATTAGATGAATTTATGTTTAAAAAAAACTATGCCAGAACTAAACAGGTTTCAATACGAACAAATTCAAAATTATATTTAAAAAGCATTTACATTTACGGTAAGCAAAAAACGATATTGCTCTTAGCCGAGATAACAACCCAGCTAAAACAAGACCAAAATACCAAAACTATTTTACAGTCTCAGAACTAAATCAACTAAAGTTTCCCTTAAGAAAACATTTATTCCCATAATCAAAGACCAAATTATTGATTTAAAATAGTAAAAAATAAGACATTTTATTAAATAATACCAACATAAAAACTTAATGACACAGGGCGACTTTGGATAGCACAGGGTGACTGCTAACTGCTTGTCAGCTGATTCCTCCTGGAGAAGACCAACCAGTATTTTCTTGGTATTTTCCGGACGCTCAACAACATCAACAACTCAACATTCTAAAATAAATTAAATCACACAAGTGCGCTTAAATAATTTCAAATTAATTAAATATCAGTAAATAAACAGTATCGGATTAAATGAAGTATCAAAAGGGCAGAAAAACGAGCGACGAGAACGTGACCGAAATTATTCCAGAAGAAAACGACTCGCGGAACGGGAACGCGAACGTGTTTTGGTGGCCAGTTTTTTCCCCTACTTTTATTTGTGTGCAAAACTAGCTGGGATTTGTGATATTTTGGGGGGGAAAAGTGCAGCGGCTGCACCCAGTTTTGGCTGCAACTTTAATTCAACTTCCAATCCCGGTTCCTGCCAACTAAAAAAGACAGTAAAAAAATTAAAATAAAAGCCACCGAGGCCACCAAACGGGGGCGTCTCTTGCTAGTGTTCGTCTTTCTCAGTGTGTGCGCGTGTGTTGTCTGTGTGTGTGTGTGGTTTAGTGTGCGTGTTAGCCAGAACAAGTTGCAGTACAGGTGCGACTGTGTGCGTGTGCTGGATGTCTGCGGTGCTCTTTTTTATTTTCCCAGCCCAGCACCACCAGCACACAGGTGAAATATCGGTGCAGCGCGCGCTGCCTTGGCAACAACAATAAAGATACACCACCACCACCACCACCCTACAACAACAAAAAAGGTGGAAGTAAAAGATACAAAGTAGTAAGCCAGCGAAAATGCTGCGTTTTTTAAGCCGTCGCAAGGTGCGCAACACTTATGCGGATAATGTTAGAGGGGGCGGCGGCGGAGGTGGTGCCCCGATGGGCGGTGGCGTCGGCGGTGCTGGAGCCTTGGCCAGCGGGTCACAGATTAAGCCGCAGCGCATTGTGGTCAACAAGAACAAGATCGACTGCCGCGTCATTCTGCTGGACAACACTGACCTTTCCATCGAATTATCGGTAAGCACTGTCCCAATATTGAATTACATTACCCAATTCCGACCCTCACTTTACTTCGCTGGTATCGGTATCTCTGGTCTCTGGCCGTTTGCCTTAGCAGCCATAAATTGTGATTGTTTGAACGCAAACAGAATCGGGTTAATGGGTAGACGGGTGAATCTGAAGTCACCAGACAAAATAGAGATACGAATGGTTCCATTAGGGTGGCTCACCAGCAGTTATTTCACCAGTAGGAGTTTCAATGGAGTTTCTATTAAAATATAACTACAACGAAAGGCTTGAGTAACAATCGCTATAGCCATAAATATGTATATTTCCCATTCGCATAGTTTTGTCAGCTTATCTAACTCCACTGAACCACTGAACCACCCTGGTGGAGACACTCCATTGCATGGATTGCCTCACCTCGTGTGATAAAGTAAGCAAATTGCTACTGATCAGCACATAATTTAACCGGCTAAGCGAACGTGATTAGTTCAGGGTCGCTTTGATTTACACTTGCCCCCCAACCGGAGAGTATTAATTTTCACGAGTTTGCATTCTCAGAAAAAGGCACTGGGCAGCTTCCTATACGAGCAGGTCTTCTACGCTCTGGATATAATAGAAAAGGATTACTTCGGGCTGCAGTTCACGGATGCCAATCATGTGAAGCACTGGCTGGACCCCACTAAGCCGATTAAGAAGCAAGTCAAAAGTGAGTATATTTTTAGAATCGGCAATAAAGTATAAGTGCAGGTGTTAATCAATTTTATTACTTACAGTCGGACCTCCCTACACATTCCGTTTGAAGGTGAAGTTCTACTCTTCCGAACCGAACACACTCCGGGAAGAGCTTACTCGCTACCTGTTCTTCCTGCAACTGAAGCAGGACCTGCTGGAGGGAAGGCTGGACTGCCCGGATGACAAATCCACAGAACTCTGTGCCCTGGCCCTGCAATGTAAGTGATAATTGAAAATTACCTTCCGTATGTTACATTTCATCTCATCCACAGCTGAGCTGGGCGACTTTGACGACCAAGTACACTCGGCGGCCACCGTCTCGGAGTTTCGCTTTGTGCCAGAGCAAACAGAGGATTTGGAAATATCCATTCTGGAGGAGTACAAGACCTGCCGCGGCCTTACTCCGGCTCAAGCAGAGACTGCGTTCCTGAACAAGGCCAAGTGGCTGGATATGTACGGCGTGGACATGCACACGGTGCTGGGAAAAGATGGCTGCGAGTACCACCTGGGACTAACACCCACTGGTATACTGGTCTTTGAGCGGGATCAGAAAATAGGACTGTTCTTCTGGCCGAAAATAAGCAAGCTTGACTTTAAGAAAAAGAAGCTCACTCTCATCGTGATCGAAGACGATGATGAGGGCCGGGAGCAAGAGCACACATTCGTGTTCCGTCTCTACAACGAAAAGGCTTGCAAGCACTTGTGGAAGTGCGCCGTGGAACACCACACGTTCTTCCGGCTTAGGGCACCAGTGAAGGGTCCTTCTGCGCGCCAGAACTTCTTCCGCATGGGCTCCCGCTTCCGGTATTCTGGACGCACTGAGTTCCAGACCACACAGCAGAGTCGGGCCAGGAGAACTGTCCAGTTTGAGCGGCGACCGTCTCAACGGTTCGCCAGCAGGCAATCGCACCTGTTGCGTGAACGGCAGAAGGCCTCCCAGGAGTCTGCTGCTTCCGCTGTGGCTTCCGTTAATGCTCGTGCTGCCGCAGCGGCGGCGGCAGCTGCTGCTTCCTCTCCAGCAGCTTCAATTTTGCCTCCTGTGGCAAGTTCTAAAATATCATCGCCACCTCCAAGCAGCGAGAACAACAACGATGCCTTCGATTCGCTCATTTCCACCGACAACTTTATAACCGTAACCCCTTCACCATCAGTGCTCACCGTAATCCAAAACTCGGCCATTATTGAGCCGGATGCGGCCTGCAGCGGTTCGATCAGTTCCTCTTCCCAAGCAGCAGCTGCCACCTGTGCCTCGCTGGGCCGCAACTCCCTAAAATCCAACTTCAGCAACGAGGATCCGGCCTACAGCAAGATTGGATCCATCGGGAAGGCGGCAGGCTTGACTGTTAGGTAAGAAAGCGTTTATGGTACTCAAACTTCAGTATAAACCTTGCTTGTTATCCAGGTTGGACTCGGAGTACACCCCACCCTATTCCCCGAACTCCACCAAGAACTTTGATGAGACCAATCCTTTCCGAAATGCTACTGCTTCGCATCACGGCAGCTTTGGCAAGGCTTCCATTAGCTCCGGCCAGCTCAGGTAGGTTTTCCGTACGCTAATCAATCCGTTTATTAAATACTTATGGCTTCAACTTCCCCATTGACTAATTCACCTGTTCTGTGTGTTTCTCACCCGTGACTCTTTCTGTGTGTGTTGTCCAAACCATTGTGCAGTGTTAAGAGCGGCTTGTCGGATAAAGATAGAGAGCTAGACTCATTGCTTAAGTCCATTGTCAAAGATCCATCCCCATCAGTGCTAGCCAATGAAGCCATTAACGATGCTAACAGTATCAGGTAGTGTAATCGCCGTCCAGATAATAGAATTGCTTGACCAGAGTGTGTAATTTTCGTACAGAGTGACCATCAACAAGACCTTTGACATGGACCACCATACGGAGACACTGAAGCGCCTCTCGAACACCAACGAGAAGCCCAACAACCAAGTGAAACTGGCCAACGTAAGCACCACGGCCCTGCCGCCCGGCAACATCAAGTGCAATATCCTAAAGGGTAAGCTGTCTTATTCTGTCGTATTCTCGACAAAAAATAAACACTTTAATCCTTTAGCTCGCGTCGAGGAGGAGCTAGGCGCCGGAGGCAATGCTAAGCTCACCAATCAGATGTTCGTGCCCGCCGCCCACCCCAGCACGATGCACTCGAGCAACAGCAACATGAACAGCGGCAGCGACGGACCGGATTCCCTGAACGCCACCTACATATCTGTGGTAAGTAGTCGACCAGCGAACCAGTTTGATCCACAGCATTGCACTCGTTTCATGCCTTCTGTTTGTACGTTTTATTTTCATTTGTTGTCCGCACTTAATGTTTATCCGTGTTTTTGCGTTTGTGTTGTGTCTATGCTATGTGCTCGCTTTACAAAAAAAAAACACACGAAATAGGGAGGCGATAAGCTGACGCTCAGCATACCGGAACAGAAGCCATCGACGGGCAGCAGCACCGCCGCCAGCAGCAGTTCCAGCACATCCAGCACCACGAATGGCAATCCAAACTCATCCTTTAGCAATGCCACCTTTGTGTCCGGATTCAATGCACCACTCACGCCGCCCTCGTCGCTGCCCATCAATTTGAATAATACGGGAGGCGTGTCCACCAGTGTAACCACCATAAGCACGCCCAGCAGCCCCACGGCCAGTGTTAGCACCGCAGCCACGGAAACTCTGGTTCCCACTCTAAGCAACGCTTCGGCAGCCGAAATACTCATTAATGAAATATTCATTAACAACATCATAAACAACAATGCCAACAGCAGCACCACCACTACCACCAGTGGCATTTCCAATGACTCTGCTCCAAAGCCGGCGGGCAGTTCGACGCCCAGTGCCGGCACTCTGCTCTTCTCCACGCTCAGTGAACAGGAGCGTCTGGAGACGCAGAAAACAAACGAACAACTACAGAAACAAAATCTGAATTCGAATCTGAACCTGAATCCGAATCCGAGTCAGAACCAGAATCACAGTGAAGTCGATGCGCCGCCAAGTGAAAAGGTTTGAGCACCAGCACGAGCTTACGTTTACGCTTTCACTGTCTGTCTCTAAACTGGCCTACAACTATTACTAATTCTATTTAAAGTCTCTGCAGATGCGTTAGTTTTTTTCTTGACGACCTCTTTTATTATAGTATGAGTCATAACTTCCATTTGTCTGTCTTACTTAAATACTTTTAAAATGAAACAATCAATTCTTAAATGCAACAAGTTTTATGATAGAAAATTATAGTTATTCAAAAATGCAAATACTTGTAATATTCTCTAGCCATTCTGCAAAGGTTTATAAACTTCGGTATGCCGTAGTTAACTTGTCTTCTCGTTTTCATTTCAATCTGCACCCCGCACTAACCACCACCTCCAGTCTGTTGGCCCTACCTGACCTCTTGTGTTAATACTCGCTCTGATCTTTGCCACAGAAAAACCCGAGCAATTACCCGGACAACAGCCGCAC